CCCTGGCCTTTGACCTGTGGGGTCCCGCAAGGCTCTATTCTGTCTCCCATGCTTTTTAACATCTACATGAAACCGCTGGGAGAGGTCATCCGGGGTTTTGGAGTTGGGTGCCATCTCTATGCAGATGACACACAACTCTACTACTCCTTTCCACCTAATTCCAAGGAGGCCTCTCGGGTGCTGGACGAGTGCCTGGCCGCTGTGTCTATCTGGATGAGGAGGAAAAAGCTGAAGATCAATCCCGACAAGACAGAGGTCCTTCTGGTCGATCGCAAACCTGACCGGGGTATAGGGTGGCAACCTGTGTTGACGGGGTTACACTCCCCCTGAAGCACAGGTCTGCAGGTTGGGTGTCCTCCTGGATTCTTCGCTCACACTTGAGGCTCAGGTGTCGGCGGTATCCGGGAGGGCCTTTGCACAATTGAGACTTGTGCGCCAGCTGCGACCGTACCTCGCGAAGGCTGATCTGGCCGGGGTGGTCCATGCCTTGGTCACCTCTAGAATGGATTACTGCAATGCGCTCTACGTGGGGCTGCCCTTGAAGATGGCTCGGAAACTTCAATTGGTCCAGCGGGCGGCAGCCAGGATGTTAACCGGGGCTCATTATCAAGAGAGGTCTACCCCTCTGTTTAAGGAGCTCCACTGGCTGCCATTTATTTTCCGAGCCCAATTCAAGGTGCAGGTGCTCACCTACAAAGCCCTGAACGGTTTGGGACCACCCTACCTGCGTGACCGCATCTCCATCTACGAACCCACACGCTCGCTCTGGTCATCTGGGGAGGCCCTGCTCGTGATCCCACCCACGTCGCAAGCGCGCTTGGTGGGGACACGGGACAGGGCCTTTTCTGTGGCGGCCCCCCGACTCTGGAATGCCCTTCCAAAAGATCTTCGACAGGCCCCTACCTTAGCAGTTTTCAGAAAGAACCTGAAAACTTGGCTGTTTCGATGTGCCTTCTCAGATTAGGAACCCCCCATCCCAAGTCCTAGAAGCACTTTAGTATAATCAATATCGCTGCACACCGCACTATTTTTAATCCGATGTTCCTCCTGCCATTTCAGCACTTTTAACCCTGTACCCCAGCGCGCCGGCCGGCCCAGTTTTAAAGTGTCTTGTTGTATTGTCACCGTTGCTGTTATTTTGCTTAATTATTTGATTTGCTTTTGTTTTATTGTTGTTATGTTTTGCTGTATTGTGTTCTGAGGCTTCGGCCTGTGTAAGCCGCATCGAGTCCTTCGGGAGATGCTAGCGGGGTACAAATAAAGTTAATAATAATAATAATAATAATAATAATAATAATCCATTTGATTTGTCATCACATGGGAGACATATGTCTCCTCCCACTGTTTCTTTCTCCATTTTCTTTGGATAAAAAATATCCTACATCTCGTGGAAAGTATAAAGCATATTACGTTTACTATAAGCACAGATACCTCTCAATTAAAAAGCAAAATCTATTTATTTTGCAATTGAAAAGAGATCTATTACTGTTCCTTCCTCCTTGGTCCCGAAATAGTAATAGCAGAAGAAAGGAAACAATATTGCCTATCTTGACTCCTCCCTCTATGATGATGTCATTGTTTTATTTACATCAATAAAGAAGAAATTCCCATCACATGTTAAATCGGGCATTCTTACACATCTCTATGTGGGGAATTGAAAAAGAAGTAAATTGCCAATTGCCAATTGCCTTAAGAATCACGGGAAAACTCACACTTTAGAAATGGCAAAATACCGTTGGACTCTGAGCCTAGCGTTGGAGTCCCAACGGCTCATTGTGTTGGGGGATTTCAACATCCATGCCGAGCCCGCCTTATCAGGAGCGGCTCAGGACTTCGTGTCTTCCATGGCAACCCATGGGGCTGTCCCAACTAGTAACTGGCCCTACTCACAGTGCTGGATACACATTAGATCTGGTTTTCTGCCAGGGATGGGGGGGGGTGGCAATATAGAGAAGGTGACTACCACTCCGTTGCCATGGACCAACCACTACCTGATCAGGTTTAGGCTCACTGCATCCATTAACCTCTGCAGGGGTGGAGGACCCATTAAGATGGTCCGCCCTAGGAAGCTTATGGATCTGAAGGGTTTCCTGATGGCTCTTGGGGAGTTTCTCACCACCTCGGTAGGTGATTCTGTCAATGCTCTGGTCACTCTCTGGAATGGGGAGATGGCCAGGGCAATAGATATGATTGCTCCAGAATGTCCCCTCTCAAGTAGCCAAGCTAAACCATCTCCTTGGTTCAATGAGGAGTTGGCAGCAATGAAGTGAAGAAAGGGGAGTCTAGAGGGTGTGTAGCGTTCAGTTCCGAGTGGGTCAAATCGAACACAGCTTGATGCCCTTCTAAGGGCATATGACACGGCAATAAAGGCCACAAAGAAATCTTTCTTTGTGGCCAATATTGCGTCCACAAAGAACCGTCCGGCAGACCTGTTTCGAGTTGTCAGAGGCCTATTAAATCCCACCACCCAGGATGGGAGGCCTGACAACTCAGCAGCCCGCTGTGAAGCATTTGCTTCGTTCTTTGCGGACGAAATTGCTTTGATCCATTCTGGTCTGCACACCATGTTAACGGCAGTCTCTGAGGATGTAACACAAGCACCTGCTTGTCTGGTTTCGATGGATTCATTTCAGTTGGTGAAACCAGAGAATGTGGACAAGATACTTGGAAGAATGAGAGTGACCACACGCATCCTAGACCCCTGCTCATCCTGGCTTCTAAAGGAGGCCAAAGGGGAATTGGCCGAGTGGGTAAAGGTGATCATTAATGCCTCCTTTCGGGAAGGCAATATTCCAGCAAGCTTAAAACAAGCTATAATAAAACCACTGTTGAAGAAACCATCACTGGACCCCACTCAATTTGTCAACTATCGGCCTATTTCCAATCTCCCCTTTTTGGGCAAAGTCCTGGAACATGTGGTGGCCTCACAACTCCAGGTATTCTTGGAAGACACGGATTATCTGTATCTGGCAGTCTAGCTTTAGACCAGGACATGGAACCGAGACAGCCTTGATCACCTTAGTTAATGATCTACACTGGAAGCTAGACAGGGGGAGTGTGTCCCTGTTGGTTCTGCTGGACCTCTCAGTGGCCTTCAATACTGTCGACCATGGTATCCTTCTGGGATGCCTCGCTGGAATGGGCCTGGGGGGCACTGTTTTACAGTGGCTCCAGTCCTTTCTGGAGGGTCGCACCCAGAAGGTGTTGTTGAGGGACACCTGCTCAACTCCACAACCTTTGTCTTGTGGAGTTCCACAGGGTTCAATACTGTCTCCCATGTTGTTTAACATCTACATGAAGTCATTGGGGGAGATCATCCAGAGTTTCAGGGTGTGGTGTCATCTGTACGCAGATGATGTCCAACTCTGTCATTCATTCCTTCCCACCCACCACTAAGGAGGCTGTCCAGGTCCTGAACCGGTGCTTGGCTGCTGTGATCATCTGGATGAGGGCGAGCAAATTGAAATTGAATCCAGACAAGGCAGAGGTACTCCTGGTCAGTTGCAAGGCTGAACAGGGCACAGGGTTACAGCCTGGGTGTGATCCTGGATTCATCGCTGAGCCTGGAACCTCAGGTTTCGGTGGTGACCAGGGGAGCATTTGCACAGTTAAAACTTGTGCGCCAGCTGCACCCGTACCTTGGGAAGTCTGACTTGGCCACGGTAGTCCACGCTCTGGTTACATCCCATATAGACTACTGCAACGTGCTCTATGTGGAGTTGACTTTGAAAATGGTACGGAAGCTTCAACTAGTTCAATGAACAGAGCCAGGTTGCTAATAGGAGCAGCACTCAGAGAACATACAACCCCCTTGTTGCTCCAGCTCCACTGGCTGCTGGTTTGCTACTGGGCCCAATTCAAAGTGCTGGCAGAGTAGCTAATATAGGAGCTAATATAGGAAATTGAATGACTTGACAATGGAACTGGACAATGCTTGATAATAAGGAGACTCTAATGATGTTGTTTTATTGCTCTTGTGATGTTTTATACTGTTTAATGTTTGAATCTATATTAATTTTTTATGTGTACTGATTTGTTGGAAACTGCCTTGAGTCGCCGATTGGCTGAGAAAGGCAGTATACAAATACAGTGAATAAATAAATAATAAATACCTGGGACCCACAGTTGAAACTTGTGTCATGTGATGGGCTCTGTTGGCTGCTGATTCTTAAATGTGTAGAAATGCTGATTTTATTGCATGGGGTGAAGTCTGGAGTTTACATTCACACAAGACTGAAAGGCTGTGTCTGCTCTTCCTTGTAGGGGGGGGGGGGGCATAACTCTGTTCTCTACCAGCTTAGATTCCAAAAGTGCATGTTAGGAGATCTAAAATGATCATTTATCACCAGAGGCAAAGGGAGGTGGCAGTGTATTTCTTTTGTAATCACACCAAAATAGACTTTCAAATACACCTCCCTCAAAATGAAACCACCTTGGAGCACAATCCAAGCATAAGCCAATATAAGGTCTTAGAAACCGTACTTTTTTTTTGGACTACCACTCCCCTAATCCAATGGCAATATACAATATATAGAATATTCTGCATAGAAATCTACACCTTATCCAATCATTTTGTATGAAATGGTATGCAAGTGCCAATGTATGTGTTCACACATTCACTCTGACTCTCTCATACAAAGGCAAAGAAAAACAAGCACACTAAACAATGGAGGAAAGGTGTGCAATTTTTGGAAAGTATAATAATTAAACGATCTTTAACTCTGTTTAGTCAACAGGTTTACCTCTAATAAGTATGTTGACTAAAGTATAATATGAAGTGAATTTTCATTCAGATCAGCAAAAAGTACTCCAGTTAATTAATTAATTTTTTTAGAATGGATTTGGGGAAAATCTTCCAAACTGAAAATGTATCATCCCAGCTCACCATAACAAAATGTGAGGAATGAATGAGAATTAACTATCACTAGTTAAGAGAACTCATATAATACTTTACAACTTATTTTTTCCCCAGGAGAACCAACCATTTTTTTTAAACTCACCTTTACTATGCCACGGATGTGCATCTTTGCTATCATTTCTGCCGTGTAGAGAAACATCAGTAGTGTATCAAGAGCAAAAGTCACATACTGAAGAGGTGGATAGTGTTCAAAAGTCTTTGGGGTGTTCATGCAAACAGAAATGACACTTATGATGGCACAGATACGTAGTAAGGAGTGGACCCACTGGAAAAGAATAAAAAAGCAGTAAGACGTATATAATCTCCAAAAGTACAAATATGTGACATTTCATTATTTCTTTTAATGGGATCTCATGACCTACATGAATTTGAGTGAAATTCTTAATTCAGAAAGAAAGAGAGCAAGCAAACTGTAAAGTCATATTTACTCTCCTTATGTATGTAGAACAGCTTTGCAAATAATTACAAAAGGTTCTACTTGCTCTTTCCCCTTTCCATGTCTGTCCCATTTCCCCATCATTGCAAGATAAATTATTTTTAAACAGAGAAAAATATAGAATCAATAAGCATTACTCAGAATCGAGAGTTTTCCAGACATATTCTACTATATTCCACCCTGAAGTTTCAAGAACTTATTTGACCCCCTCAAATGTACATAGATTAAAAATAATTCAAAAGTGCTATTTGAAAAATATCATTCAGCAAAATTCTGTACATTTCTAATTTTAGTGGTTGCATTTGTTGAATATTATGTCTTTCTAAACCATGAAGGGTGAGCTCTGTTCTTCGAAGGATGGGGTGCATTTTTGTTCCTATTCTGTTTGACAATCACAATACATGACAAACAAGATCCCAATCTCTCTTCTCTCTCCACCATTGTTCATATAATAATAATAATAATAATAATAACAATAATAATAATAATAATATACACATAGTCAGTATATGTATGCATGATTTCAAGTCACCTGTTGATATATCGTGTCGCCATGAATTTCTTAGGGATTTCTTAGACAAAAAGAATACTCTAAGGTGGTTTTACTAGCTCCTTATTCTGAAATATAGCCTTCAGCTATATGAGCAAATATTAATCAAGCCTGACCCTGCTTTGTTTCCAGGTGCCTTTAGAATAGTCTCTCATTCTACTATGGAGATATTAAATGCTCTAAAACCTTATAACTCCCAGAGAGGAGAAGCTCATACACTAGAAATAGCTGCCTTGGGTCCCATGCCAGGAGAAAGGGGCACATTAAATATGTGAATAAATAAAACAATATTCCATCTTATGTATAAGATAAAATATATATGGCATGATCCAACTAAATGCAATACTCTTCAAATGTCAGTGAATTCATTGAGAAATATTTCAAACCCAGTCAATGGGATTTTGTACTATTTTACTCTGGGTTGCTCAACCTCTAAGAAATGGGAGAGGAAAGTTAAGCCTACGAGTTTCATAATGCCCCTAGGGCTCCATTTTTGTGGCCCCTGAAGCCCCTCCACTAGTGTCCCAAAGTCCTATAAAGCCTCTGTTTTTTTTTATTTTAAAAGGAAGTAGAATTCTCATATGAAGAGATGTCAGCAAATCACATGGAATGCCTCCCTGATACATGCAAGCATGCAAAAAACAACAACAAACAACAAACAAAGCACTTCAAGCCCCCTCAGAACACAACCCATTTTCCCCTCTGTTTCTAAACAGTGGCAGGAAGGAAAAGAAAGGGGATATTTTCATGCACTCAGGTAGGGATGCAGTTATAGTGAGGGATTAGCCACTCCATCCTAGGAAAAACCATGGTTTTTGAAAACTTACTGGTTTGTTAATCCACACAATATCTGCATTATCTGATAATGATTCATCAGGGCCAAAATCTGTCACTGGCTGGGCTTCTACCCTAGAACTCTGTTTCCTTTTAAGCATATTGGAATTAGCTTTGGTTGTCTAATTTGGTGAAATCTGAAAAAAAGGAAGAAATGTCCAAGTTAAACAAGTTAGAGAATGAAAGAACATATGTCTAGATTACAAGCCACTAAAATACATGCATCTCATTCATAGAAATGAATGTGAAAACACAAACATTGCATAGTTACCATAACAGGTACAAGTCAGCCAAACTTTCTTTATGTTTTCCAAATTGATTCTGAGGTATCCTTTTTGAAAAGACAGAAAACTCTAAGCCTTTTCTTTATGCAATTATTTTCAATTAGAAATCTTTTTATTTTATTTGTTCTAATTATATACCACCTCTCTCCCATGGCCCAAGACTTAGACTACAAGGTCAACTCGAATATGCACCATTCTTCTTCTTGTTGTGTGCCTTCAAGTTGTTTTTGGTTTATGGGGAACTGAAGGCTATTTTTTTCAAGGATATCCTTGGCTTGATTTATTCAGAGTTTTCCTTTTCCTTCTTCTCAGGGTGAGAGAGCATGACATACCCAAGTTTCACCAAGTGGGTTTCCATGGCTGAGCAAGAATTTGAACTCTGATCTCCAGAGCGATGATTCAATGCTCAAACAGCTACACCACCCTGGCATTTGAATGAAACTATTTTTCATGTAAAAAAAAACCAGCCCTCTTTAGCAATGATGTGCTTCCAAAATTTCATTTGAATACAAAAAAGCCTGGTAGAAGGACAACTGAGAAAGAGCCACAGAAGGGAGTTTTACAGCTTGGGAACAGCTACTCAAAGGACCTTATTTACACTCAGGGAGGCTGAGAAAAGAATCTCAAATTCTGCAATCATCACACACACACACAAACATACACACACAAACATTATTTATTTAATACTATCAAATGACCTCTACAATTAAACAAATAAAAACAGAGTCCTGCTTAAGGTGTGCAACCAAAACAATACAACACAAATGCAAAACAAAATAATCCCCATACAATGCGAATGAAAACATAATACAAATCAAATTGACAGTACATGTAATCAAAATATACTAAGCTATACAATTGAAATGGTGAGAAAAATGGCAAAAAAACAAACAAAACAAAAACACAGATGGGCCAAAAAGGGGAGAATGCCATCTGGAGTAACACAGGTGAGTGGCTATACAATAAAAGTACCCAGAATCTCTCTGTAAATTCCCTCTTTTGTACTAGCACCTAATGCTCAGGATCCCTGATCTCCTTTGCATTTCTCAGTCCCACCAACAAATCAAAATTGTTTCCCGTGTTTGAGTTTTCATTTAAAACATGTTTCCAACTAGGTTTTCAGAAACTGGGCCCCCATCTACAGTGCCATATAATTCATTTTGAAACTGAATGTATACATAATATGATGCAGTTTAACTGAACAACAATATATATTGTAGTTTCAAATTACATTATACGGCAGAGTAGATGGGGCCTGATAAACTAAAAACATTTATATATGTGTACACACAAACACACATCTATCTCAGGGCATCGAAATTAGATGTTACACAAGCATACAGCTGTAGCATAAACTCCAAGTCAGTTTTATAACCACTGAAGTGTCTTAGTTAAGAGAATCAATGTCTACATTTTCTTAAGAAATGAAGTAAACTGAAACACATTTCTGCTTCTGTAATGTACATATGCTTTGAATTGCTGTCTTTGGGTCTTAAAAAATCTGCACATAAGCTCAGCACACCATCAAGGATACCAACAATGGTAACAAAGACTTAACAAGGATCACACCTTTCAATATCAGTTATAATTTCTATTCAATATTGGGGCATCATGACACTCAAGGCAAAACTTACTTTCTGAATATTCTGTAACATTTCTTGAGGACGTTCAAAATCTAGCAGGAGAGATTAAACAACATGAGAGGGACTTAACACTTGTTGAAAAATAATTTATGCAGACACGAATACGTAGAGATTTCACTTGATGAAAAGAGATATACTTCTTTTTACATGAAATGATTTGAAGACTCACATCCAAATAGCAGAATATGGGCTCCTTTTTGTATTATCAAGATGCTTTGTTTTCAAATTTAGGAAACAGATTCTTAAACTGTGAGACGGGGTTCTCACTGGTGATATCTTTTAGCAATATACTTGTTGTAGCCTGGTCAGATTCTGAGTGCTCAGAACATGAGGTGGTTGAACGTCCCTTATCCAAAATGTGAAAATCTGAAATACTCCAGAATCCAAAACTGTCTGCATGAGTAACTGAAGCACTGTTGTCTTCTGATAAAACTTTGTTTCGTGAACTATCATGCATAAAATTATCTTCATAAGGTAGATATGTGAAACATAAATGAATTTTATGTTTATACTTGGATCCCATCTCAAGATATCTTATTATGTATTTCCAAGTATTCAAAATTAGAAATAAATAACACTTTTGGTCCCAAGCATTTTAGATAAGAGATGCTCAAAATGAGATAACTGTGGAACTTCCTAGAGATTCAGTGACTAGCATGAACAACATTGGTCAAAGGAACAAGCAAAAGAGGTAACTATAAAGATGTTAGAATGATACACAGCTGAGAAAGGAGAAATAATTCATGAGACAACTGTCCCCTGGAAAAGCCAGAAGTTTTATGGGAAAGTGGCAAAAAGAAAGCAGTTGATGAAACAAATAGTCCTTATCAAATCCTATTTGAAGTTTGCAAAAAGGCATGTTGGGGGCATAGCAAACATTTGGATAAAAGTGTTGTCGCATCTGATTAAATACCTGTAGTGATGTTGGCCAAAGTGTCTTGAGAGATGTAGTGGGGAGGGAAGAAGAGAAATCACTGCCTCTTTTCCCCACTTCCATTTCCTAATGCTCTGGAGTCCAACATCACTCCAGGCACTGAGTGACAGTCACTACCTATGCCACACCTGATAGTTGTCATTACAAAAAAAAAAAACCAGAATGGGGATAGTGAGTGCCATCCCATGTCCCCATGCCTCCTGAGCCCAGGGGAATATAGGGTAGCTATGAAAACACTTGTGCTATCTTGGAACCAGCCCAACTTCTTGCATGGACCTAAAGTCATTATTTGGTCTGGTTCCTCAGGGATATGTGTAATGCACTTCAAGGTTGTTTTATGTGGCCTTGGCCCACATTAACCTGAACTGGCTCCGTTTATCATGTAGTCGGCCACAGAGCTGATTCATTGATCCTCACCCCCCATGCCCCTTGGGATAATAGGTCAGAGAGTGGCTTGATGAAATCCAGGCTTCAATCTGATAGAGAATCTTTGGTGACATTTGAAATCTGCTGTTGAGGAACTCAACAAAGTTGGACTACTTTTGCAAAGATGAGTGAGGAAAAAATCCATGATCAAGTGGTGTCAGTCTAATAGACTTGTCCAAGATGATGAACAGCTCCTAAAACAGCTTCTAAAAAACTGAGAGAGTGAATACTTACACAGCTAAGAAGTACCAGATTGATTTTGTTTACTTTGTATAAATGTATGTATGTATATATATAAAAGGTAAAGGTTTCCCCTGCCATTAAGTGTAGTTGTGTCAGACTCTGAGGTGGGGTGGAGCAGTGCTCATCTCCTTTTCTATGCCGAAGAGCTAGCATTGTCCACAGGGGCCTCCATGGTCATGTGGCCAGCAATACTGCATGGAACACAGTTACCCTCCCACCTATTGATCTACTCACAGTTGCATGTTTTTGAACTGCTAGGTTGGCAGAAGCTGGGCCTAACAGCGGGAACTCACCCTGCTCCCTGGACTTGAACCACCAACCTTTCAGTCAGCAAGTTCAGCAGGTCAGCAGTTTAACCCGCTGCATGACCAGGAGGCCTATATGTGTGTGTGTATACACACACACACACAATATAGATACATATATATTTCTCCTTTGCAATCTTGTATTTTCTGCATATCAAGTAGAAACTATGCCTATTAAATCTATTTTGTTTCCAGGTTGTAACATAACAAACTGTGGAAAAGTCTAAGGGAATTAATAATGTTGTATACCTGTGTATTTAAAATGTAGATGGGCACTTTGAAAATGTGAAAATGCAATGCCTTTGCTTTCTCTGTCTTATCATACAAGGATCAGTCAGATAATTCAGTTCCTATCTTTCTATAATATTCTCTGAATGTCAGGCAAGTTTGTAGATTCCCGTGGGTGCATCATATTGTAAACGTAGTAGCATTTCAATTTACTATGTATCCCCAAGGCAGTTATGAGAATGACTTGGTCAAATCTGACTTCATATTCCCCACCTTAATTCAGTGGAAATCACAAAAAAATCTATTTCATTTTATTAAGGCATTACTTTTGATTTTGATATCTCATTTGAAGACCTAGCCAGGTCTATAGCCATCCAACCTATGCCCAAATAATCCAGGATAATGAAACTAAGGGTTTGTTACAGTCTTGAGATATAATGAACCATAAGCAGTAGGCCTGGGCGGTTTCGTTCGTTAATTTTGTAATTCGTTAAATATTCGTTATTTTTAACAATTACAAAATGATTACAAAACTTATTTTCAAACCCGGAAGTGTTTTTAAATATCGAAACGGCATCCTCCATCTTTTTTACGAGCTTCCGCCTGTTTCGGAAATGACGTTTTAGGGATGGAGGATGCTGGGTGCGCCGGGAGCCAATCCGGCGCTCCCAAGCACCGTGGCTCATTGTGATTGGGCGGGCTGCCCTTTAAAAGCGGCTCCGTGTGGCCGCATTACTCATTGCGAAGGCGAGGAGACGGGAGGTGCGGAGGGAGGCTTGGCTTGCTTGCATTCATTCATTGCTTGCATTCATTCATTCATTCACATTCATTGTTGGGAGAGCGAGGGCGGTTTAAGGACCTGGGCTGGGAGCAGCGGGGAGGCTTTGCCCTGTTTTCGCCCCACAACAGGGCAGGGCAAGCATTTTGTTAATTTTCCATTTTTAAATATTTCTGAAAAATATATTTCTTTTATTCTTCAAAAAATTCAAAAAATATTCTAAAAAAAGAAAAGAACCTTGTGTGCCTGTGTGTGTGAGTTTGTCCCTGTCCTGTGGCTGTGTTCGCTCCACAACAGGCAAGCATTTTGTTAATTTTCCATTTTTAAATATTTCTGATAAATATTTCTTTTATTCTTAAAAAAATTCAAAAAATATTCTAAAAAAAAGAAAAAAAAGTGATTTGCGCATGTGCGGGGGTGTCCGCCATCTTAATGAATCGATTCGTTAATAATAACGAAATTTCATAAATACCGAACTTTTTTAAAGGAAAATTTTGTAATTCTTTTAAATAACGAAACGCAAAAAACCCCCAAAAACGAATTGATTTTAGAAACAAATTTTTGCATTGTTACCCAGGCCTAATACGCAGGCCTAAATACCTTAAAGGCACCCAGCCCTCTCTGGTCTCTGAAACTAAGCAGAGATAGGCCTGGTTAGTTTTGGACGGGAGTTATTCAATTAATATCAGGTGCTGTAGCCTAACACACACATTAAATATAATTCCACAAGACAAGGGACACTCAGAATTGTTTTTCCAGTACCCTCTAATGAAATATAGCATACAGTACTTGACCTTGAGGAATCAATCTACACTTCAGAAAAGTTTGTAATTCACTATATGTAAATACACAGTACATAATAAAATTAACTTGATGAACAGATTTCATTGGACTGAGCCATTATATTGGACTATGGCTGGGCAATGAAACTAATGTAATAATATCTCCCCCAACCGAATCCTGGGAAATGTGTGTGATGGGTTTACTGTTCTCAGCACCTACACCAAAATATAAACTGCAACTCTCACCAGTTAAAAGTTATATTTAAATTTTATGTGAATTTAAATATAATTTTTCACTGGTGAAAGCTACAATGAATTTTAAACTGACACACACACACATACCAGTGGAATATTCTTATGAAGGCTTATGTAACACACATGTAACACAAATGTAAACATACATTATCAATGCCTCTCACTCAGGCTAAGAGAGTGTGACTTCCCCAGGGTCACCTACTGTGGCTCCCAGAGACCTAGCCCAACATTCAAACCACTACCTGACACTGGCTCTTCAGAATATATATTTGATGAACATTGAGTGGGCTAATTTTCTGTATTAACATTCAATGTTTTATAAGTGATTAGCCAATCCCTGCCACACATTGCTGTGGCCCAGTCTGTGTATATATGCTTTGTGTGTGTATATGTATATTTCTGTATATGTGTATATATGTGTGTTTGCATGGGTGGGTGGTTTTGTGCATGCTTTGTAATTTATTTAATTTTTTTTGGCTTTTTAAGTCTCTTCTGCTGTGTTTTTTAGTGTTTTTATGAGTGTTGGTCACTCGTTGACCTGATATGTGTATTGTGTCCAAATCTGGTGTCAATTCATCCAGTGGTTTTTGAGTTATGTTAATCCCACAAACAAACATTATATTTTTATTTATATA